TTTTCAGGTTGACTTTTCCGGCAAAAATGGAATCCATAAATCCGAAAACACATTGGTAATGGCACACCAGTAATATTAGCTGTTTTCTGATGAGGAAATTTCCAGTATTCATTGACTGAGCAGTTAGTGCTTTTGTTCGAAATTTATAAAATCCTTCTGAAAGAAAAAATGTTTCTTCAGGAAAATGGATCCAGTAGATGTTATCGCTCTTTTCAGTATTGATGGGGGGGGGTCCCTCTTTGCCTTTTTGTTTTTGAATTATGTGCAATGTCAACATTGATCATTATTTTCTCAGTTACATGTGCAACCCATTTTAGTCATTGCCGTTGTTAGAAGTGATGTGGTTTCTATTAAATGGTATAGTTCTTGTAATTCTACCATACCTGTCCAGGTTCGAGGCCTACGCGCAATCACTAGATTGAAGCCATTTTAATCATCCGAGAAAGCGGTGGTATACAGCCGGCAGTTTAGATATCTATTGACGAGTCTGGCCCCCTTGGTGTGTTGTGTAATGCTGTTTTGTAATGGTGTGTTGTGTTGCATAATGGTATGACTTTTTTTTGCAACTGATCCATAAAGGTACTTGAAGTATTTAATATTTATTAATTCCATACCTTCAATTCATATGATTCAGGGTACATACCATCACTTATTTCAGTTAAATTCCAGATCATTGTTTCTGTTTTGGAAAGGTTTATCTTCAGTCCTATTCCTTGGAATACTTCGTAGAGAATCCTGAGAGCGTACGATTCCTTTCAAAAGTTAGACAAAAATATTAACAGAATCTCTTTCGGTTAAAACGGACAATAGTGCTGAACTGCAATGTAATATCAATCCTCCTGTATTGTAACGAACGCTGGACAATGGAGTTTGAGGCAACAGATTTTCTACAGAAGGATGCCCAGAACACCATAGACGCTTCATGTGAGCAACGAAATTTTAAGGAAAACGAAAGACACTTATTCTTAAAATCAGAAACAGTTGAAATTTCTGGATACTTGAGAAAAGAAGGCTTGGAGAATGTGACACTCGCATGACAGTAGCAGAAAGAAACGTAAAGGGATGGCAGAGCAGGATCTGGAATGGCTAGTAAATATTGCTTAGATTTCCAAAGAATAGGAAGTTGTGAAGAGCCATTATCACCCTACATTCTGAAGGAACACGGTACATTAAAGAATATTCGGTATGTTTCACGGTGGTAAGGACTTTTTCAACAATAGAATCCAACGCTCCATGTTTGGTCGACACAAAACTAATTCTAAGAACATTTGTTAGTCCATCGCTCACCACATTTAAACTCTAAGCATATGTTGCAAAATCTAAATCTTTTGCAGCAGCACAACAAATGCAAATGGAATGCACCTGGATAAATATAGCCATGAAATGTCTCCACTTCCTAGGCTTTATGCTATGTTGCTTAACCTCCCATTTTCAAGTAAAGGGAGAAATTATTGAATAGCTGTGTAATTATGTGACAAGGAATAAAACATTACTAACAGGGTGAAAGAAATGAATGAAAAATTCGAATTTTACATTCAGTTCTTTTAAAAATTAAGGTATTTTCATAGGAATGTTACTGACAAAATAAACAATATACACTCTTGTGCAAATTAATTGGCACAAAACGAATAATTCCGTTATTTTACTTTTTTCGTATCTTTCCAATGAACATGACACAGTGCCCATGTTAGTCCTTCGTATGTCCATTCCCCGAGCAGAATGACCAGATTCTCGACTGGATTTAAATATAAACTTTCTGGGCTAGTCTATAATACTCTGATTTGCTCACTGGTAAGGCTTGCCAGCGTGTTTGTTTGGCGTTACAATTTCTGTACGCTTCCTTGGAGTAATGTCCATCGCAGACAATGGTCGTAGGACAACTAATCGACAGTCGAGACAATAGTCTGGGCGCGATGAAAATCTAATGCAATCACGGATGACGCAATGTTTTTCAAAGCCAAACAAATTTCATTATACACCCCGAAAATAGATTCATATTACTGCGCATCACTGTAAATGACCTAAGCTAAGGAAAAAACAAATCGATTACACCTTGTCACACCAGTGGGTCTGAAACTGACCGTATGGTAAAAAAAGGGAACTAAAGAGGCTGTTTCAATTAATTTGCATAAGTTTGTACTTCTTGGAACTCTTGATAGAGGATGCTTATTTTTTATTTAAGATCCTCAGACTACTCGCGCAAAGCTTTTTATCACCGTTGATCTTAGGAAACGATTGTCTACATCTGACAGTTTAGGTATTTCTGAACGGGTTTGGTGCCATGCATGGCATCCATATGAAAGTCTCGATTTGACGAAAAAAAAAAGCGATTACACTCTGTCACTTCAGTGGGTCTAAAACTGACCGTATGGTGAAAGAAAGGAAACTAAAGCAGTTGTTTCCTTTTCAAAAGGGTGTATGTATAAAGTAAATACATTGTAAACATTGTAGTTGTGCATTTCAAATGACGTAAATGTATTTTTAATTGTCAGAAATTTCTGTTACTGACAAAATATAAATCGTACATATAAATATTAGTTTAGAGAACTCCGACATGGTGTAATGGTTAGCAAGCTTGTCTCGCATTTACGACTGAGTTGAGTTCGATCCCCACTGTGTGCCCTATACTTTCAGCCTTGTGCCACATCTAAGCTACGCTTAGAAAATCACTATAAAAATATTAGCTTGTTTAGAAAATGTCCGATTTTAGGATAAACCTTTTTGTTGTAATATATTAGTTTCCCAAAAATGTATTACTCGTTCTCAATGATATCGTTAATTTGATGTGATCCTCCCGCGCCCCTGAATGTTGATTGGCCAGCAATGTTTTTCTTTCGTCTCGTGAAAGTCGTAATCTAGTTGCTTGAGAACTTACCAGCAAGTAAGCAAACTATGTAGATTAGCTAATGCTTTCTTAACTTAGCAAGACTTCACACTTCGTAATTGCATTTATAATCATTTTGTGTGAACGAAATCCTAATCGAATCAAAAGCAAAAAAAAAAATCATTCAGCGTGTCATACTGATGAATCTTGTTTGGTGGTGGTATCAGGTTAATGGACAAAATCTGACAATTATTTAAAGACATTTTTATACTTTTTATAGATACAAATATTTAAGTAAATGCTCTGTTTATAATAAACAGTATTAATAACAATTACCGGCCTGAATGTTCAAGAAATTTTTCATAGAAAATATTTGTACTTCGACAGGAATCGAACATGTATCCTATACGGAACAATCATATAGCCTGACGTGCCTTTAACCGATTTGGCCAGAGGAGCGTTCGATTAGCAAGGTCAATTTTACTATCTTTAAACTACAATCTTCCATGATTCTCTCGCATACATTCATATCTGCTCATGGTGTAAACAAATGACGTCATACATGAATGTCCGAGAAATTTTTCATAGAAAATATTCGTCCTCCGGTAAATGTTGTTTAATAATGTTTATTATAAACAGAGCATTTACTTAAATATTTGTATCTATAAAAAGAATGTATAAACATAAAAATGTCTTAAAATAATTGTCGGACTTTGTTCATTTCATGTTATTAATGGGAAGAGACTATTAGCTTACAGCTATTTATTCATATGCGACTAAATTAATTATTAAATCATTGCAAAAAAATCCGTGCCCATTTTAAAAAATTAAAAACTATGAAAATTGGGCACAAATTTTTGCAATGAATAAGTAGTTCTTGATTGCTCGCAACCATGTCCGTGGCATGGTGGTTCTTCGCCATGAAGGTTCAAAATGGTGGAACTAAGGACTGTAATTCATTTGAACACTTTCCATGAAAATAGTGATAGACCATCGAGAAGCTTATCACTTTCATCTGTGGGGGAAAGGGGCTGTAGGGTGGAAAATAACTCATCACGCACAAACACACGGAAACACTTTTGGATTCTTATCGAGACTGGAAAGCGCTTGTCTAGATATGTCGGCAATATTTTATCTTTAAAAGCCAGATTACTTTAATCTCCCTTAATATAATTTGCAGTGGACATAACTTATCTTTGCGTTATTCCTGTGAGATGCATTAATATCTCAAGACATTCCTTCGGCCACTTAAGCTTCACTTCATACATGGCCATATTTTTTTTATTACTACTATTTCTAGTAGAGCAATAATTATTAAAATCAATTATAGTTGTCCGGTAGTTTGCATGTGCATTATCCATTGCCTTTGATAAATTCCGTTTTGATTGTTTTTGAATAACGAAAGGTATAACAGGCGCTATGTCTCTTTTTACCTTATTTTTTTTTTCCTTTTAGTGAGAAAAAGGAAGCAAACGTAATAAAGGGGAGATAAACGATGCGATAAAGCACTCAGGCTTTTAACGTCTGCTTCAGTGAAATAGAAAACCTTGTCAGTTTTTTTTTTGGTTTTTTTTTCTCATTTGTACTCTTACTACGAATGATTTGCATTCAGGTTCAAATAATTAACAATCCATAGCGGAAATTCCATGGGTATTTTATAGACTTGCAAAGAGGCTAATTCAATAATCTAATTTAATAATTGATTCATCAGAAAATTTAAAATAGAAAAACTGACATTTTCACGGCTACTGCTAGTTGTGAATATCACTGATTTAATATTACTAATATTATTGTACTAAAAGTGACCCGTAGAGAATAGGGCTCTGTCACGTCGAATTTGCCCAAGACACTCTCCAACGCCCCTATCTGGTTAGAGGATTGAGTTTTCACAGCTTGTTCAGTTTGCCGTTGTTAGTAAATGCTCTAAGTAACTGGGTAAATTTCATATACAGTCCAATTCGTGTAAAACGTATAATTGGTTTTCTACTCTCCTCGTCTAACAATTTTTCCTTTTAGCACTTAGGCTACCATCTTTTACGTATTTTTATCTACTTTATTGCGTGCTTAAAATTGATTTTTGGATTTTAATTGTTTTCTGGGAACTCGTATATTAGCAGCCCCTAATTTAATGCAGTAATACTGTTATTGTTTTGTTTTGTTTTTTTCTCTGCTTCAGTGTCTATCGGCGGATGAGATTGTGGAAATTTCAGCTGGTCGTTTAATTCCGAAATTATCCCAAGAAGAATTTGACAAATTTGCATTAGTCGTTCTCTACCGGCTACAAAAGAAGGATGAACTATGCAAACCACCACCGGCTCTCTCGTTTTCCGAATACGAAGAAAAGACCGTAGACTTACTAACGGATGACCAACATATCTCAGTTATGAAATTGGATGAAGTTCTTCACAGATTAACTGGTACATCTCATCTGCATGACCACGATCACGATGATCATGACCGTCGGCGAAGGTCTGCGAGAACCGATGGGAAAGTGCAACGGCGAAAAGTTCGACGGGATTCGAGGTCGAATTCTCACGAATCTAATGAACATGATCATGACCACAGTGGCCATGACCACAGTGGCCATGATGACCACAGTGGCCATGACGACGACGACGACCATGAAGATGACATTAAATTACCTTCTCTTTACAAAACGAACGTAAGTTTGGTTTATTTGTATTTTAGTTTTTTTTTTTTTTTTTTTTTTTTCTATGCTTTATTTTTAATTCGGTTTTGTTTTAATTTTTTTTCCTGTCTGTGTTATACGGGGATCTATTATCGGCGGCCTTAATCTCGGGGAAATATAGATTGGTGCCAAAACACAACTGTTCTCTTAAAATAAAGGGTCCTGAGAATATTTAATGTATTTTGTAAACAATGGTTGTATTTCAAAAATACATGTCTCCAGCTCGGAATTTGTCCCATTTAATTTTTTTTTTTTTTTATTTATTTACCTTTTCCTGATTATCTAACATTTCCTTTTTTCTTTTTTCTTTTTTTATTTATTTACCTTTTCCTGATTATCTAACATTCCCTTTTCTTTTCTTTTTTTTTTCTTTATTTATTTACCTTTCTCTTTTTTTTTTTTTTTTATTTAACGAAATAATTAATTTATAATTCGTAATAAATGTAAGATGAAAATCTTATTTTCAACTGTCGGACAGTTTCCATAACATTTTAGTTTGTTTTTTTTTTTTTTTTGTCTTTTTTTTTATATAGTCCCGACTGAAATACTGTAATTACAATGCATTGAAAAATCATTTTAGCAAGACTTTAACTGTTTGAAATTAATGTATCCTACTGCATGCATATTTCATTAAATATGCATTTATTTCATTTAACTTTCAATAAAGGTTATATACACTAAGATTAAGTAAATACGGGTTACCGAGTTCGAAATAATCTGAAAAAAAAACATTGAGAGAGGATAATAAAAGAACAGTTTAATTACATTATTTTCGTAATGTTTCTTACAGTGAAGTTCACCCTGTACAACTCGAGGTAGAGGGTTACAACAAGAGGCAGTTTATACAGATAAGAGGGAAATATATCAACCCTAAAATTTAACAGGTTGAAATTGTATTGATCGGAGAAATATCCTCTTGGGCGTCGGTACCACAGAGCAGTGGTTCGCGGGAAGCTGTTTGAGTGGAGTTTACTTCATAATTCTCACCGATGGAATACGGGGGGTGGTGAGTACTTTATTACAATGTAAGTGGCAAGGTGGGTCCTAGCGGCGAAGGTTAGACCTGACGAGCCTGTAGTTCGACCGAGCACTTTCCATGAAGTAGCAATAGAGTAGTGAGAGGCGTGCCACATTGCGTGTGGGTATGGTTTGGTTAGTATGGTTATGAGAGATCGGGTGGAAAATAATTTCACTCGCAATAACTCGGAAGCTTTTGAACTCTATCAAGACTGGAAAGTGAGAAGTGGGCAGCTCCTGACCAAATAACAGTATCCCATTTGTTTTCTAAAATCTTATATTTATAATTTCTGCAGAATTCAAAGAATGCGAACCAATATAAACTAATTATTTAGAAATAATTTTTTAGATTCAGTCTTTGTCAATTTTCTTACACAGAATATAGTTAATCATGGCTGTGATACTTGTAGGTGTGAAATATCTACGCAAATTCAAATTCGCTAATTGAACTTGTTTAATATCTGTTTCAGTGCTTCAATTCAGAATTGGCTGTCGACCAGGCAAAGACTGAGACTAGAAAAAATGTTTCAAGCGAGATCAAGAGAATTGCTTCAGTCATAATCTATCACTTATACAAAGGTAAGTAATAAACCTTAATCATAATTTTATTTGCACGATAGGAACGAATACGAAGACTTCCATTTATTTCGTTCGTAAAAGTTTACATTTTTGTTTCTATTTCTTTCTTATTCCCCGATGCAGATTTTCGCGTATTGTTGCTCTTCGCCAACAAAAAGACTTTCAAATATACATTCTTAGATTCCGGTTTGTTTCAGGAACCAATTTTGATGATTCCTGTCGGATCCTCCCAACAAGAACGGCGTTTATAGAAAATCTCTTTCAAAATTTCCACTCCGTAAATGGTTCTTTAACCCTCGAAGGTAAGTGTAACGCTTCAAGATTTAGCATTTTCACGATGAACGGTTCATCAATCCATTAGGTTAGGTCATGAAACAAATTTGATTTATTCTAAAAGTAAACTTGGTTAGCCTTTTATTAGTGTATAAATTCAATTCCAGGAAAATCTTTGACTCCGTTCCGAAAATACTTTTGGGGAAAGTTATGAATCCACTTCTCCCCGCCTCAGATATGAGTTAATTGGTAAGAATTGTATCACTAACGATTATCTAAAAATATCCTTTCAATGGAGTATTGCTGCCATATATAGTCTGGAGCCCCTTCTGTTTGCCTCGGGCTTCTTGATAAGCTCCAGAGGCGGATATGCAATATAATTGGCCCTGTTCTGGCATCTCGTCTACAGTCGCTCTCACAGACGTGTCGTTGCCTCTGTCTTTTTTACAAATACTTTCATGGCAATTGCTCCGAGGAGCTACATTCGCTGGTCCTCAGACTTCATGAATTCAAGCGCCCTACGAGGCTGGCATCCAGCTCTCACCCTTTCACTGTCGAAACTACTAAATGTAGCCGTCTCTTCTACTCCAATAGCTTCATGTCTCGCACCTCTCGCCTGTGGAACTCCCTTCCCTATTCCAGTTTCCCTGAGAGCTTAATCTCCAACTATTCAAATGTAATGTCAATCGATATCCCCAGTTGCCTTGATCTATCCACTATCCTTCTCCTCAACCTTTCCTATATCACTATCTGATCTTGCTCCAAATTTTCTGTAACCCCTTGCGCCCTAGTGGCTTCCCGCCTTGCTTGCGGTGAAATGCTTAAAAAAAAAACAAAAAAAAACTAAATATTTGCCGGCTTTAAATAACCTGCAAAGGGTTGATAAGCCGTAGAAAACGAATTGAGAAATCTTTGAATCCGTTAAAAGTGAGACAGCTTCTGGCAGTATATTGGAATCGGATGTATCGGGACTGAAAGTGACAATGGCATGCAGATTTCAAATCCCCGCAAATTCCCATCTTATTTTCGTATAATTCATTGTCCTGGGTATGACGATAAACTCTATCTGACAACAAGGCCTCTGATCGGGAGGTTTTGAGGGTAGAACACCTCTTAATTATTGTTCCCAGGTCCACCTTTACTTGTGTTGGTAACACCTGTTAGGGTCCCAACTATGGGCAAATAGTGACTCCCTAAAAAAAACTACCTCTATGAAAGTGTAAAATAGATTTTAATACAAGTAAATCCCCAATACATTACACCCCCCCAAACAGTACATTTTTGCAAAAGAATACATCAATGAAACAAGATCTACAAAGTAATTTCTTACAAATACATATTCTATACATACGAGCCTACCCTTAAAAATTTTGTTGGCATTAAATAACCCATCGGCTGAAAATAAACCGTATAATTCACCTTGGAAAAAGCGTCAATGTATTTCTTCTTTCCAGAGTTATGTGTAAACAGGGTATACTGAGTTCTCTACCGTTAGGTGGGAAGAACTGAGACCATTATAATTTCCAATTATGGTATTGCTATGTTTGGTAGAATAATGGAGAAGAATTAGTCCACACAAACAGAACTGACGAAGTGTGGGTAATACTATTATAGTTTACGGGCTAACCCACACTGTAGATCAGCGTACCCATGTTTACGATACAGCTGGAGATCATGCCAACCCGTTGGACAACTTCTTTACCTGATCCGTCCTGGATATGACTATAAACTACATCCGCGTCTTGGGTAAGATGATAAACTTGGTCCAACAGCAAGGTCTCTAATCATAAGTTTTGTTGCGCATGGAACCCCCTCTTAATTACTGGTGCTCCTAGGTCAGCCCTGACCTGGGGTGTAGCACCTGTTATTTTACCAGCAATGTGCAAATAGTTAACCCCCAAACTAGTCAAAACACTATGAAAGTGTAAAAATAGGTTTTAATACCGGAAATATTTTGTTAAATAAATAATAAATAAAATGATAAATAAACAAATAAATAAAATAAAAAAATAAAATAAACAAATAAAATAAAAAATAAAATTCTTACCAGCAATTAAAAATTGTCGGCATTAAATGACCCATTGAGGTTGATGTGCCGTAAATCAAACCAATCTTTACCTAATCAATGCTCTCTTTGGACACCTCCAGACAATTGCTACTGCAATAAATAAAATAAATGATGTGCCGTTTCATAGGAAAATCTATCGATATAACAACCCTGATTTGGACAGTGACTATGATCACTATAGATATCTCTAATGCCTTTGACTAGACACAGGGGATGTCTATACAAACTGGGCAGGTATGGAAATTATGAGAGTTCTATCGGTTATCGGGCCTTTGCTGCCCGGTAGGTCAATGAAAGTTGCCGTTAATGGTCAGTCCTTTCATGCACACGAGATCAATGCTGGCACCACCCAAGGCTCCCTTCTCAGTCTTATTCTTTCTATTAATGATCTGCCCAAGACCAATAAAGTAAATATATAGGCATATTATATCACTGTGTATGAGTTCACCTCCAAATAACTTTAACAGTATCTGGCAGTTGATCCTCCTCTGACCTAAGCTCAATAGAGGAAAGACTGGCTGGTATCGTGCAATACCTTCAAAACAAGACTAGTAGCATTCACAAGTGAATAGACCCTAAACCTGCACTATTCCTGATGAGTGGTTGCGACCTCAATGAGTCTTTGTCTAGAACGCCCACTAGGTCTAAAGCTCATGGAACTTGTATATACGACGCGTTGGGGGCATCTCGAGGCGGTGTAATGGTTAGCAAGCTTGTCTCACTAGAACAATCACGACTGAGTAGTGAGTTCGATCCTCACTGGGTGCCCGCTACTTTCGGCTTTGTGCCAGATCTAAGCTACGCTTAGAAAATCGCTATATATGACGCGTTGATAATTTTACGGCAATACGCCCTTAATGTTTTTTGGCAGTTTTGAGTCAACATTTATTTTCATGCTTAACCGCAAGGAATTTTAAATGTAAGACTTATCTTACATTTAAGTAAAATAACAATATTTATTAATAATTTATTACGGAAAATAGTCTTACGGAAACGTTTGACAATTATGTATTTAGTTACATAACAAATAAGAATAATGTAAATTTTGATGCAATATTAGATTTGTTAGGTATCTATTTTCTCCTTTGTTATTGACCTTTTTTTTTTTTAATACGTTGGCTACAATGTTAAGTTTTCTAAGTTGAACAAACTGGTGCTATTTAGTTCACGCTTTGTTACCTTTCTTTTACCATTTTTATTTTTTTATTTTATTTTATTTTTTTTATTTTTATTTTTTTTCCTTAGGTCGCTTTCTTCGAGTCATTTTGATGGGCAATAGCGAAATTCTGAAATTTAGACTAATCTTATTCCATTTCAAAAAAGCGTGTAACAAAAAAAAAAAGACCTAAAATAAAATGTTTGACAAAACTATAATCATTTCACTATGATTATATAACAATATTTCGCAGACAAATCTACGTTTTATGTTAGCTCTTTGCATGATTACGAACTATAAGCCGAAATTGAGCTTGAAATATTGTGCAATGGATTTTTTTTTGTTGTTGAAATCGCCCCTCCTTCGACGAACGCGTCATGTGCAATAGCAAAATATGCTGGAAGAATAGTCTGTTCCTTGTATCTCCCCAGAAAATATCTAATCTCTGCTGTCTCCAACTCTTTAGAAGAGTTGGATCAAACCATGAAGCATTGCTACTAGATATGGGCTGGTACTATGCAGACGAGCCTTGGCATTTGACAGGCAATTACCTATCCCTGTGACTGAAGAATGATTCTCCATCTTAGGACTCCTATCCCACAGACAAAACGTTGTTAGCCTCTCGCTACTCTATCGTTGCTCCTGTGGCAGATGTTCAGACTACTTACATTCCTTAGTTTCACTAGCTCGGACATTCAGAGCTAGGACCCGATATGTCATGCTTACAGTGGCAAGTCCTCTCCATTCCCTGTTTCCTTTTTATTAGGAGTAAGTTCCACTCAAATTCCTCCTCCCACCTACCTACAAGAATAGTTAATTTGTCAAAATCCCGAGAGGATCCTTCCCTAGCAAATAGATGTCCAAATATCTATCCCCTTCGCTTACAACAATCTCATTTGGTAACCCTCCATATTGAGTGATCGTTGGGTCTTGGGTGTACTAGCAGTGAAAAAAAAAATAACAAAAGGCTACCGAAACTACTCCAGTACCTTTCTCAAGAAGACTTGATAGTTAACGAAGAAAAGGAATCTGGAGACCTAATTATGAGAGCTATAGCGTTGTAGATCTCTTAATATCTATCACATTACGCATATATGAATAGCACTATCTCCTAGCTTAACTTCTCGATTTTTTTTTTCTTTGATTTTTTTTTTTTTTATATTCACCCCCAAGCAAAGCGATAATGCCATTAAGACACAAGAGTGACAGAAAAAAAAACAACTTTAAAAAGAACTGGAAACCCAATCCTAAACAAGAAACCATGTATAAATCTATATTCCTGTCCATAATACTGGACGATAGGCGAAGCGATCTATTCTTAAATTCGTGCACATATCTATTATCACAAACAACCAAAATACTTTTATCAACATGAAATAAATATTACTATATAATACTATGCAGCACTAAAGACATAAAGGAACAAGTCTAAAAGCTACTGTCGTACAAGAAAAAAGAAACGACACTAAATATTTAATTCATTAAATGTATATAAGGTATTTAATATGCTGACAATGTCTATTTTGTGATCTGGTCTAGTTCATTGTAACCGTTACGTTAGTCTTGATTAATTCGAATCCTTGTGCATCAAAAAATGCAAGGATAGTTAAAATCTTATCCCCAAACTGAGAAAAAATGCCCAAGTCTAAATTAGTTGAATAAAACTAGAACTCTGGCCAGTTTATATATAATGCTTTCCCAATTTTGGGGATATTTTATATCTTATTCAAAAATTGAACAAAGTGAAAAAGATTCAACACAAACATTGCTGCTTGAAGTTAACTAAACCTGTTTCGATAATTTATTTTTATTTTATTTTTATCTATTTTTATTTTATTTTTTATTTATTTTTTTGCTGTATATTGGGTTAGCACTTTTTGGAAATTATGTAATTTATTTTACGAGGTGGAGGTGCGTAATTATTTGTCGTGAATAAAAGGAATTTAGTTACCTTCATATAGTATGCATTTGGAAGAGAATGACGCATCGTCAGATCTTTACAATTTGTTTGTAAAATGCCACGTTGGTTGAGCGATAAACGTGAATGAGCACTTTATTAAACGACTCTATATGCAAAAAGTTGTTCCCATTGTCAAGTATGATTTCATCGCGTGAACGAATATGGCGAATTTAATATTAACTCTAAAAAAGGTGTTGATTTTGTCTTGCTATGAAATACATTAAAAGCAACTTGACCACTGCACACATGCGTGGTTCGAACATAACTTATATCAGTTATGTTATAACCACACACACACGTGTGTGTGTGCCTTCACCATAAAGCTCGTGGATAAAAAGATATCTAATTCCGTCGCTCAAAAAATTTATAATGGTGAGATTTTCAGTTTCCATTCAGAAAATATTCTACATTCTTTGACCCATTGAGCGTGACTGTTGGCTGAATAATATACATTCTTCTTATTGATAGAGCTTAGTCGTCCATTCAAGTGGAAACTTAAAAAAAATTTCCCGATGAACAATGACCAAACTATCTTGATATTTAAAGCTTTATTCTCCAAGATAGAACGATATATTCCTTGTTTCTGTTGCTGAAGAACCCAACTTGAATTCAGACGGCATACGGTAATGTCTGAAATCTTAAGATTTAATTTAACCCCGATATAGTTTTTTTTTTTTTTTTTTTTTTTTTAAACTAGTAAAATATTTATCCATTCTGATGTTGTGTAATCGTTAAAGGGAGAAACATTAGAATCTTCAAACTAAATGTTTTTCACAGTACGTATTGAAAAATAACATTCAGTGATCCTATAAAAAATGTTACACTGCTTTGTTTCCAATCTAATTTTTACGCTAAATAATACGACTTGAGTAACATTATTTTTTTAAAAATGTGTAAATGCACCATATTAAAATGACTTGTTCTAACATCTAGAAAATATTTAATTGGCAAATTTCAATTCTCCAGGTTTTAAAACCATTATTAAGAAACTTGGCATTGGTCTCTTATCTTCGAATGCTGGACACGATACTGATGGCCATGGACACAATCATAAAAAACGCTCCTTAAACAAACGAATAAAACGGTTGGTTGGAAAATCAATGGGATCTACAGAAAAGGTAAAAAAATCTTCATCTTATTTGGGTATTTGGAAAGTAATGACCTTTACCAGAAAAATTACTTTTAAATAATCCTCTTTAAAAATGCAACACCCCTTCATTTTCAACATTGCAGCTCAGCAGGAAGTGAAATTTTTCGATTCTCAATTTAAAGAAATCTGGCTACTTTGTTTTTCTTTCGAAAAATGTTTGAAAAACTATTTACATTTTCGGACTATTGTCCTCAATTTGTTGCCATATTTATTACAACGTTTCGGCCGTTGTACGCTCCGGCCTTCTTCAGGTGGTTGGAATGTCGAAAAGAACCCTTTATTTCGCTCACTGGGGTAGACTGTTAGTTCCATTCAGTTATCAGTTAATTCCCCACTCAAAGTTTTTCACTGCCTTAACCGGGTATTGAACTCACACTCTTTGGGTCCTGTCACTGGATCTAACCAACGCCTTTATCCACTGTGCCATGTGTCCTTGAGTCCACCAGGATGAGATGTGAGAACTTTTTAAAGTGGGGACCCAAGCGCGTGCACCCGGGCAAGGGACAAAAATTGCCCCGTCAGTTGCGCTGGTCTCGCGGCGAGCACAGGTACCTCCCCCTGGTGTAACGGGAGGGCGCGGCCTCGGGCAGTTGTTCCCCAAGGCTGGTCACGTCGCAGTATAATTTTCTCAGTTAGCCCTCTGTCCTTTGACAGAAAAGCCCCTGAGCGCGCACTGCCCAAAGACAGACGCAACTGATAAGCCATGCGTGAGAAAATTCCTCCAAGGAGGAATTTATACTCTTAAAATATATATATATATATGTGTGTGTGTGTGTGTTTAAGCTGCATGTTTTCATTGATGCATGTTTCATTAAATAATATAGACAAGTTTTGTCCATTTATTTTAAGAAAATTCCTTTCATATTGTCTGATAAGCTTCATAACATTATCATTGAAAGATAAAAGAAAATCACCATATTGAAGCTATTGGATTATACCAATGGCTTTCCATACTTAATACTTCTTGTTTTCACTCTCGCGTGGTAATGTGACGTCACGAGCTGCGGTGCGATTTTCGCTTCCGCGTCTCGTATACACGAGTTTGTCATTGCTTGGAAATCTTTCATGCAATAAAAACAGACAATCATTGTTTTGTCCGTGTATGGTTTAATATATTGAAATGTAATTGTCATCTTTGATAATGGCTTATGTAAGCCGAAAGCTTATATAGGATTAAAAACATGTCTCAATATGGTGTTTTTCTTTCAATGATAATGTTATTAAGCTTATCAGACAATTAGAAAGGAATTTTCTTAAAATAGACAAAACCTGTCTATATTATTTAATGAAACCTGCTATATATATATATATATATATATATATATATATATATATATATATATATATTATAGCTGAAGGTTTGCAATTTAGTTAAAAATATTTAGATTTCGGTATTAAATAGCCCATAGTGGTTTGATATGCAGCTAAACAAAATCAAACCAATGTTTCAAATTAACTTTTCTCGAAGTGGGTCGAGCCATTAGCTCTTCAGCACTCCTCGTGTATATACCGGAATACTATCACTGAGATGTTTTCCTCTAGCTCTTATGTCCCTTTAAAATTTCGAATATTTTACCTTTTTTTTTTTTTTTTAGATTGATAAATGCTTCACTGATCTGGAACTGCTGTCTGTGTTCAGTAACCAACCGACGCCCAACATTAAATCGGAAGTTTTTACTAATCTCTGTCCAGCACTGCTTCAACAGTATGTCTCCGGAGTCTGTAAAATTCGACCAAAGGTCATTCGAAAGATTTCACCATCGGAAAGTGAGTTTATTTTCGCTACAAGCTTATGTATTCCTGTTTCACTTTTTTTCTTTTTTTTTTTTTTTTTTTTTTTTTCACAAATTTCATATCACGGGTCTTTTAAATGACAAAAATTGTCACAAAGGAATTTAGAAGAGAACTTATAAACCATGTCAAGGAAAACCGTATCGAATGCCTTAGACGTGAAGCCGCTAACACTACATACTGTCACTCCTATTCTTAACATGCTCCATTAATCTCTTTTATTGGCCTTAAAGAAACAACTTGTTGTTAATTGCCCCAGTTTACGTAAAACCTAAAAATAAATCTGCTATAATGTCTTGCTGGCCGGTCATATTTACCTGGCCCAGTGTTGTGAAGTCGAAAGTAATAGCTCAAGACCTAGGTGGGCCATAAGTCCAAGGCAACTTGAGCAGCTTTATACTATAGTGTATACTGGAGCATGGTCTATTTTCTTTTATGGTATTCTGAACCGGACATTTATTTTTTTTAATTTTTATTTATTTTAACAAGACCTGTGTCTTCCACTCCAACACTTTTCTCTTTATTTTAGTGTGAAAAAAAAATGTCTACAAATTCAATATTAAATAACCCAAAAACGGTTAAAGGAGGCACGGTGGCTTAATGGATAGCGGCTCGGATTGAGGAATCTGAGAGCCGAGTTCAAATTCCAGTCGAATCCATTACATTCCCTTACGTGAATGTAATAGATTGGGAAAGGTATGAATCCTCTTCTAAGTTATGGGTAAATAGCAGGACAGGCCGGATTCTATAGCTTTGGATGGCAACTAGTCTACCGCAGGAAGATGGCAATCTACTGCGGGAAAAAAATCAGCTTCGTTATGTATCGAAAGGTACATGATCGCCTAAGCGTGAATCACGTGTGGCACATAACTGACTGATGTCGTTAAATTATTCAACCTACATTGCTTTAAATGACTTTGACAACACTTTGTAATAAAAAAAATGCTTATTCATCTTTTATTCTGCGTGATATTATCAAGATAAACACAAAATATTTAAATTTCTTGCATCAAGTTTACCATCAAATCCACTTAAAACTAATTTTTATATCTAGTTAAGCAAATTCTAAAATTAAAAATCCTTGACTCTAGTAAATTTCTAGGATTTATAAAAGATTTGATGTGAACACGTTCCAATCTTGTAAAAGTATCCATTAACTTTATTACAAGATTTCTAATTTTCCTTTTCGACAAAGGCGCTTCTGTATAAATTCTCTGAACAGCATAGTTTCTAGAAAGACTGCCACAGCTGTGAAAAGCCTTTTTCGGAGAAAGATGTACCTACAAAAGAATCTTCAGTTAATTTCGAGGAGTAATTATTTGAAGTAAAATACATTAATCAACTTGAGGGCAATTTGTTTAAAACTATCAATGTATTATGTCTCCCCTGAATTAGTCTTGTGCGTGTTATAACTCTGTGGCACCATTTACCAGGGCAAAAAGAAAAAGGAGAAAGGAAAGAAAGGAAAAGAGAGGCGAAACCCAAGCGTGGATGAACACCCACGACCAGAGACAATTGACAATGTTATTTTGATAAGTAGCAAATGGCGAAAAGTGTCATTGCCATGGCAGAAAAATTCTAAGTGGATAAGGGAATCGACTATGTTCAGGCGACGAACTTGTTATCGGGGATAGATAACAGCCGCTTAATGCGGGCAAAACATCTAATTAGCAAACCACAGACCGACTAGCTAAGAAAAACTCCAATTGAAAATGTTATTTTGATAATTGACAAAGAACAGGTGAAAACCAGGGCTTTGGATAGATAAGAAAAATTAACTGTGTCGTCTGCTAAGCCGCACACGAAGTAACGGCTGACCGTTTTTTGACAAAACATCCATGGGTGTTAGAGTTCGGCTGTGATAACAAAACTGTTATCAGAAATTGGCACCAAGCATGACTTAGAACAATGGAGCTGTTTTTTCGAGAGGACGATGTTTTGCTGAACACACATTCTGATAATTAGCGAAAATCTGACTGACGAAGCCCAGATGAGAACAGGGGTTATGACACCACTGGTTGCATTGTTCTGTTGGCGGCCAGAGAAAATGAGAGCTGCGATTAAGAAAAGAAAAAGATAATTTTTTTTTTTGAGCAAGATATATATATATATATATATATATATATATATATATATATATATTTTTTTTTTATTTTTTGAAACGAAGCCCGCTGGACCGCACACGCCCGGCTGGACATCATTGGCCGAGTGGTAATCACATGACGCAAGGAGGGAAGCTGCTGCCGCCCATTTAGAGGATGAGTATGAGGGGTTGCCACGAAGTGGGGAGGACAGTTGACGACTCTCTGAAGTATGGTGAGAAGGTGGGAGTAAGAGAAGACTCCCAAAAATGGAAAGAAGTGGAAAATTCCTAACCAAAAATAAGTGGATATGTATTTAGAATTATCGACGAACCTCCGACGCCGACAAACCCACCCCGGTTTTGGTCGGCGTCCATATAAGCAAAGTCGCAGCGAGCAGAAATCAGTACAACTGAGTTGGGGTTAAAAAGACAAGCAAACAAGCTGTGAGCTCTGAGACAGCCTCGCAGTTGACTAAGATTCGTGCAACTTCCGAACTCATCTTCAATCCAAGAACAATTATTTTGAAGAGCGACTTAGATCCAGACCACCAAAATAAGTTTTTTTCGACTTTCGCCTGAAGACGCACCAAGAACCAATTTCTTGAAGAACAGACAACTTCAAGTGTTAAAACTCGCCTAACAAAAGAACGTGTCACAATCCATATAGCGGGTCGGGAGATAGACGCAGTCCTATGTATCTAGCAACTAGACATAGTTTTGTTATCCATTTTTTTTTTTTTGATACTTTGAACTTTTGAGTTCTCTTTTATGCATCTTTGCGCGGTGTCACCCTCGTTGAACTCGACTTGCATTACGGCCCCAACTACTGATTGATTTCGTCTGCCTAAGATCAATTCACAACGTGGGTAGGCAGACTGAAGATCAACGCAGTTACTTTGGTAACCAGACGTTGGAAGTGAGTTGGGAACGACGAGGCTGATTTCGAATCTAACCACATTCCCATCCGAATCACCAAAAGGTTAGAACGTCACATTTGGGTGCCGCGACCGATACCAAGCCAGTTGGTCGTCACAGGACGGGACAACACGACTGACGCAAACAGGCGGACGTCACGTTTGGAGCGGCGACACCCGAACGAAGCAGCGAGGAGCGAGCGAAGGCTGTGTTTAGGGACGTCACAACTCTACCATTAGCTCGTCTATTGAATATTATGGCAACATCGCTTTTCGTACTTCTGCTATGCATTTAGAGATTCTGGATTTGATCCAAAGAATCTGGTATGTTACCGTCGGTCATGATCTGGCATTTCGACTCTAAACATATTCCAGTTACCATAATGTAGTTTCTGTGTGACTTTTCTATAAATATGTTCATGGTAATTGTTCTGATGAACGAACCTCTTTGACACCACAACTTTATGAATATAAGAGCAGTGCTAGATTTACAGATGGTCCTCAGCATTTTATTGTTGCAATTGCTAAATGTAACCGTAAGTTCTATTCTAATAGTTTTTTTTTCTTGTACATCTCGCTCGTGCTCTTCCGGTTCTTTGCTTTCGTGTCGGCATTGATCTTGAAAAATTTAAATACAGCGTTAATCGTAATTATTTTTTATTTATTTTTTTTTTTTTAAGCTTTTCTATTTATTGTTCTTTCATCTTAACGTTTTTTGTTTCCTTCGCTCGCAGTAAACCCTTGTCTTCGTAGATTTATCGCCTTGCTTGGGGTGAAATGATTAAGGCTTTTGAGAATTAAAAAAAAAATTGTTATTTTTAGGCTATGGCTATGGAACTGTTTGTGTCGTGATTATTTGTCTGTGTTCAGTGGTTGGAGCTTTGGTTGTGGTCTGCAAGAACAGATCAGCTTTTATGTATACAATGGCGTTGTTTGAGGGACTTGCTGTCGGCACTTTGACCAGTGATGCATTGCTTCATCTGATACCACAAGTAAGTATCGTAAAATAAATGTGATTATTTAAATATTTTTTTCAACTGCAGTTGTCTTTTCTGCATGAATAATTTTTCCTTATCTATTCAACTAACTACTGCAGTATATAAATAATTCTTTTTAAACCTACTAAATAAAATTGTTTTGCTATATTTCTTTTGATGGTTTTATTTAATGGAATAAAAAAAAAAGCAGAATTATTTCTATACGTCAGCAGACAGTTTTTCAATTACATCATGTTCAAACGCCGGTCCTGTACGGTTACCGGAGTTAAGCAACGTCGAACCTGATCAGTACCTAATGATCGATTGGGAATAGCAGGTGCTGTAAGCTTGGATGTGCAGATGGTGTAATGGATAACGGCTCGAAATCGAAGAGCAGAGTTCTAATTCCAACCGGGTGTGTTACATTCACTTACGCGCAAATATTCTTGGGAAATGTATGAACCTACCCCACTCCCATCAGCTATTTGTTCATTAGTAGGACTTAAACCAGTAAATCATTATCTAAAAAAAAAAAATTTCTAAAGTATTTTCTGGCATTAAATAACCTGCAAAGAGGTTGATAACCCATAAAATAAATCGATCAATCGTCAACTGATTTTAGGTAGATGCAATGTTACTTTTGAACCCTTTTTAACCTTTCTAATTTCTAAATGTTTATATTTAACTGTAGTGTAGTAAACAAAAAATTCAGCTGTATATAATTTATACTACGTCGATTTGCATACTGGAAATATAGTGCATGTGGCACACTAGACAGTTTGGGAATTAAGCTTAGAATTTGGTATTAACAACTGTAGTAAACCCTAGAAATATTTGTATGAACGTAATTCTTATTCAACCCCTTTTTTTCTATTTCTTAAAGGCTCTGGGCCTCCATCAACACGATGATGAAGAACACGGAAATGAAGAAAATGGCGGACCCGGCTATCTCTGGTTCTGCTTAGCCTGTTTAGGAGGTGAGAATTTATTTTTATATTTTATGGGAAATAGCTATTACTGTATCTTCACGAATTTTTCCTTCTTCCTAACGGGTAGTTCCCTGAAGGTAGTTGTTAACAGCCTGACCTCCGACCCGCAAGCGATCAACGCAAGCGTCTCCCAAGGTTCACTTCTCGGTCTGACCTTTCTACTTTACATAAATGATCTGCCTAAGAATATACTCAGATTACTTGTGAATATCTATGCTGATACAACAGTATATGGATTCAGCTCAAAAACTCTAGATGATCAAAGCTTGGCAGCTGATCTCTCATCTGTCTTAGCTGTAACAGCTCAGTTGCGGGTCGGACTGGCTGGTCACATTCAATGCCTCAAAAACCAAACTTGTGACATTCCATCATCGCTAAAACAGAAGTTTTATCAAACGCGATGAACAAGTGTTCCCTCAAGGCGGCCCCGTCTCTTTAGTGTCTATTGGGACTTAAGCTCAACCCAGATATCAACCTGACATGGGTGAGAAACATACTGACAACAAGGCATTTGATCAGGAGGTTTTGAGGAGCATGGATCCATCTCTTAATTGCTGGTGTTGTCAGGTCCACCTTGACTCGGGGTAGTAGCACCCTATCAGGGTCCTAGCTATGGGCAAATAGTTACACCCCCTCCACCAAATAAATAGTCAAAACTCTATGAAAGTGAAAAAATAGGTTTAAATACCAGCAATATTTTTTTGGGGAAAAATTACCAGCAATACACTTTTGAAAAAGAAATGTTACCGGCAATAAAAAAAATCTTGTCGGCATTAAATAACCCATTGATCTTGTGTTATTCCATAATACCTATTCTATTGTAATACTCTCCCACAGATAAGTAGTAGTAGCAGTGGCCAGTTGGTCTCAGTGGTGTTGAGCGAATCAGTCGATATCGGACATTGAAGTATCAACTATCACAACTAGATTGCTGCGTCATTAACTCTTATTTCAAGTTCCTAACGTTTTGTACGTCGAACCTAATTTAGGACGACTTATTGAAATACAAGCCTCCACTGTGAAAACTACTCTACAACAGCCTGGTATGCCGTAAACCAAACCCATACTCTTACATACAACTCATCGTTAAAGATACTGTAAAAATGGTCGGTTTCCTGTATCGACTTAGGATAGTAAGAGTTAAGTCATTACTATCTTTTTACAAGTACCTAATCGGGTCGAAAAGCACTATTGGTATATCTAAGTAGGAGCTGTCCAGTCTTCATTTTCCACTCCCGACAGTCTTAAAGCGTCTCCCCCATCACCAATTATTTTCCATCCTATATTCCCTTTCCACCAGTTTTCACCTTTACGGCTAAAATCCGCCATGCTACACACATTATCGCAAACCGACCTTCATTCCCTTCCTATTCCATTGGTGAGATGTAAGATCTACTGGAGTAGTAGCTTCATATGAATAACTGCTTTCTGGAACAGATTCCCAAGACGATTCTTCCACGATAATCACTCTTAACCTGACCAGGATTAACCGTTATCTTCCCCCACATATCCGTCTAAACTGTGTATCTTTACTAACCCTCTGCCACAAGTGACTCTAGGGTCTTATACAAAAAACTTATTCGGATCATCTTTCTATTAATAGTTTGCTTCTTGTATTGCAGGGTTATATATTTTCTATTTACTGGAAGTCGTACTCACTTGGTTCAATGAGGTAAGACCATTTTTATGTATATTCTGTAAATACTTATAAGGCTGATTAATCGACATTAGTACCTTTTTTTTTAATAGCATCGAAAGTCTAATTTTTCAAATTACCATTTTTATATTTTCTCAAACAAAGCATCCTTTCTTGAACATGAAAAGTATGCAATATTTATTTAAATATTGTTTTTGCTATAAATTTCGACTGCTAAAATTGTAATTTGCTGTATACCATAATAGGAAAATTTTATTAGAGGGGCTGAACTGCTATGTAATATTAATCCGTCTGTGGCAGTGAATGCTTGAAAATTTCCTCAAAGATGAAAAGACGGCCTGAGAAGCAACAGACGTGTCCTTCTATAGAAGGATGTTGTATATCATGAACGGAACACGTGAGCAATTCAAAAGTTTTGAGAAAAATCGGATCAAAAAAAGGATACCTATTTACAATCGGAGATATCTAAAATTTTCTGGAGTGCAAAATGAGAAGTGGGCTTGGGGAATTTGACACTCACACGAAAGTGAAGACAAGAGGGCCAGAGAGAAATATCTAGTAACCTACCTAGCGAGCCTGTGTACATAACTGGCTGAATACAGTTGGGTTGATTTAATGATGCTGTAACCCTTCCGAGACAATCATGAATCTGTCTTCATTATCTGTGAATCAGAAATTTTGATGGATTCTTTTAAATTGCTTAGCAAAAGAACAATAACAGCCACTTGAGAAGACAATATTTCTGAAAAATTGTTTGAAGAGAAAGATTTTATAAATTTCAACTGAAAGCAGTACTGGCTGCTTGGTCAATGAATATCAAATGTTTCCTTATAAGGAAATGGCTAATACTGTTACCATTCTTTTTATTTCTGTCTTGTATAGTATCATCACTTTTATTGAATTTTGAAAATTTATTTTTGAAAAAAGATTGAACAATATAACTACAGTGTAACCCGGATATGAGACCCGGATATAAGAGATTTTCTCTGGTCCCAAATTAGAGCCTGTGTTAATGTAAACAAAATAGGCCAAACCCGGATATAAGAGAAACCCGCATATAAGAGATTTCTTCTCCGGTCCCGACAACTCTCTTATATCCGGGTTACACTGTATAAACAAAAAAAAAATACCAGCAATGCATTTAAAAAAAAATTTCCAACAATATATTCTTCTTAAAAAAATAATTACCAGCAACATGATTTTATAAAAAAAAATTACTACCAACACATTTAAATTAAAATGTATCAAAATAATTAAACACTTCTTTCTCTCTTTAGATTAGTTTAATTTTACAATGAGGTGCTGGGAAAACTTCTAGGCCGCCCCACTTCTCTAAGTATCTTAGGTGCAATGGATAAATTATCGTCTAAATTATGCAAAATGAAAATAACGCTAATATTTCATTTTAACACACACACACTATATATATATATATATATATATATATATATATATATATATATATATATATATATATATATATATATATATATATAAAACCAAAATACACAAATATCTTGAAATACTAGAGTACATTTAATCAATGAAATCGTTATTGACTTCAACCACAGCCTCCAGACGACATCGAAATCTCCTGAATCTCTTCTGGACTGTCTCCTTGTTTAAGTTGAATGATGCCATAATTCTTGCCTTCAGTTCATCTTTGGTGATACAAGGAGTTTTGTTGGTATCTCGCTCAAGAGAGCTTCACACATAATAATCAAGGGGGTTGCAGTCTGGGAAGTTAGGTGACCAGAGATAAAGGGTTATGCGGTCGCAGAAATTATCTTCCAGCCATGACTGGATTCTCCTGCTTGTGTCACATTGTGCAGTGTCCTGTTACCAGACATAGGGTCTTCCAGAAGCCACCCTCTTGACCCAGGGTAACACTACCTCCTCGGGGCACTTAATGTAGGCCTCCGTGTTGACTCTAAGGCCATCGGGAGTTGTTTTCTTATCAAGACAATCGGTGAGTTTTCAGAGTTGCCGTATTTGCTGGCATACAGACATGCCTCTTATATAAGAAATACTTCTCATACTATCTGATATTATTGGCCCTAGTTGTAACATGTTTTCACTTCTGTTTTAATATTTGTGATTTTAATCACCATTAGACTCGTCCAACTCATTTCAAATTTTCTGCACTGTCCTCAAATTGACACATGAACACTGCAATGATTGTATTGGAACTTCCGGTGCGAATGTCAAGCAGCACAGGATGCCGTTTCCGAATTTCTGGCGGAGTGAATTACGTCATGGTTCTTTTTCTCACGGTGTCCAACTGACCCTACTATACTGAGCAGGCAACAAAATAAAATAAAAAAATGCGCATGCGTGAAATAAAAAAAAAATGTAACATAGCGACAATTTACCTATCGCATTCTGTACATATGATTTGAAGCCATATTTAGAAGCTTTACACTACACCTGAGCTAAGAACGAAGAAATAAACAGAAAAAAATCACTGAAATGCTAGAGCTTTGGTACATAGCCTAGGTAAAAAAAAATGCTGTAAATCTGGCTAGTATACAGTTCAACGTCATAACTTTCTTTTATTTGTCGAATAAACTAATGCGCGTTTAAAATTATGGTATTGCTTGAGTCATGGTTTATTAGAGGATTAGCCAAAACCTTTGGTCATTTTACTAAATTGTTTTTTTGTTTTACATTGTTCAAATATAAATACTAGTGGTCCTGGTGAAAAATTTTCCTCAGCTCCTTCCATGAGAATTGTCCACTTGAGAAAAGCCGCAAAATGTATCGGCTGAAACATCGTGCAAATGGAATGCGTTCAGTAGTCCAAAAACTGTTGGAAACATTTTATTATCAATGTTATATTACAAGTATCTGATGTATCTAATTGTTATTCACTTGACACATTTTATTTTAGGGTCACGGTCACTCCCACGATTTCACAGAAAGTCAAATGAAGGTAAACTTTACTCTTTAAATATTTTTATTAACAATCTTGCAAATCCAAAGACCTTTTGCATCTGCTATTAAAGATAAATCTATTTTTTAAACATATCAAACAAGCTAGTCTCTTATCCGATGACTTTAGACCATTGTAGCTATTCGATAGGATTAAGAGAATAACAGTGGAAAATCGGACGTTAAAAAGCAGCAGCATATGTGTTGTGTTGAAATCTAATCAGGAGGTCAAGCATTGGATATCAACATATAAAAGTCACAACTGAAAAAAAAAAAATATGAGATTCTCCAAACTACGACTTCAGTATGCTTTAGAATTTTACCTAAAAAAAAAAAATCCCCTGGCTCCTAGAGAAAGTTATGAATTTATAACGTATGTCAATAAACGAGAAAATATTGGAGACCTGTTTTTAGCTGTATTTGAATCCACGCTATTTTATTACTTTAATCTGAACGCTAATTATGGAACGGTGACTAACTTCTGTCTAAAGATCTTTATCCTTTGTTTCTCACTAGATACTTTCTGAATATAGCGTCATTACTATATTGTTGAACTCTTAAAATAAATAAAAGCTGTAAGCCATTGAATAATTTAAAAGATGTACTTGCCACAAATATAACTTGCACTTTGTGTTATGCTTTAACATAATGGATGAAACAAAAGAAAAGTTATTGTTCTATAATGTAGTTTTCTTTCAAACTAAGAAATCGCCTTAGAAAAGCATTCTATCTTCTACCGTATTTGCTGGCATACAGACATGCATCTTATATCAAAAATACTGTTCATACTATCTGATATTATTGACCTGAATTGAATGCATTTCGCATCGTGTTACTATTCAATTTTTTATTTTCTTTATTTTTTTTTTTCCTCGTCACTCTTTCATCGGTTAGTTACCATATCGACCGATGTTTACTTACAAACTAATTTTACATTCCTTTGAGGAAACTAATGGCTCGGAGTTGTTAATCGGAGAGCCGAGTTTCAATTTCCGTTGGGTTCGTTATATTCACTTACGTGCAAATGCCTTTGGGATAGGTATGAATCCACGTCTTCTCCCAGCTATGGGTTAATTTGTAAGACTTGTATAACTAATCCATTATCTAAAAGAAAATACAATCTAAGAAGATTCTGGCTTTTAAATAAAGGGTTTTAATCCGTAGAAAAACGAAACACTCAAAGCATCCTGAATCTTTTGAGCATGTTCTTAAATATCCGGGTAAGATCTAGGCTTTTATATGGATGCCATGCCTCGCTTTCGATTTGTTCAGTAGTGTCTGTTATCATCTATATACAACAGTTTCCTCGGATCAGTAATTAAAAATGATTTCAAATGAATATATCCTTGAAATCTTAAAGAAAGTTAATCTTTTTATCAGACACTATACCCTTGTGCTACATAATTAGAAAGCACTTTAGCAAATTACAAAATAAACCATCACGCGAAGACTTCCAACAGCAACCACAAAAAATGGGTAGCAAATGTAACTTTGAGAAAATTAATATAATCAAGCTGTTAACTTTCCGTACTACCAAAATCAAAAAGTTCAGTAGAAAACGCTAATCAATACAAGAGCAATAACAGTGGCCTCTAAAAGTCTAATTGCCTGAAAGATTTTAGCAATACTAGCAGTTCGGCCGATGAATGTTGAATGTTTCCTGTATGAAAGCTGCTCTTTTTCCCATTACCATTAGTAAACAACCTGGCAGTACTCTACAAATATCTGCTCGGCACGATAGACTACCCAGCACGCTCTGGGCCCCAATTGAAAGACTTCATGGGACTGTTCAGTCATCTCGGAGCCCGATCTTGCTCTCAAAGACATCAGGAAATATTTAGGACCTGTCTTCGCACACATTTTTTAAACTATTTTTAATACTTATGCTGTGGACGTACATTTGTCTTGTATGTAATGTACTGCACTGTATTTACTTACTTAGTATTTTTATTATAAACCAGCTCTAGTGCAAATTCCTGACCCGTGTATACGTATATTAATGCAACCTGTTTTCTGACATATTTTTTTAATTTTGCCTTGAGTGTGTCGTTTAGTCTCGCCTGTACGGCAGAGTTACCGATCAAAAAAAAAAAATGGCGGTGACAGTGACAAATCGCTCTTGGCGTCTTTATAGTCATTTTATTTTCAGTAACTATAAATTTTCTCTAAAAAGGACCAGCACAGTCAGGCAACAATGCAATTGAGAAAGTGCCTGTGGTAATAAAATAAGTACACCCCACCTCCCCTCTCACTTGTAACTATATATTACAGTAAATATAACGTTTTTCAGCCCTAAAGCTGACTTGGTCAAAGATTCATAAGTTTTTATTTGGTGGTGTTATATTTACATCGTAGGATCCTGGATTTAAATTTACCATAGATTCCAGAATTAGTGCACTTTTAATTGATTTTCACCTTAATAAATTTTTTTTTTTTTTTTTTAGTTAAAACTGCATTCTTTAAGTTGAAATTATGGTCAAACTTATTACATTGAATGACTAATGCATTGAGTGTATTGCTTTGTAGAATATACTTTTTGTGTTCATATATATTCTTTTATTAGAACATATTTGTGGAGGTTCAAAAATGTTATTGCTATAAAAACATTCAATAAAATGAGAAGTGAACAAAAACTCTCGCTTGGAATTATCCATGACAAATATTTTTCAGCACTAAAACTAATAAAGCTTCATAAGCTTCTATTAGGTGTTTGTAGTGGATCTAAGAAGGCTGCGTGAATATTTAAGATTGTGCTGTAAATAAAATATGCAATATCCACAAACATAAATTATAAGAAATGGCCAAATGGTAACGATATTCAATCACGATAAAAAATACATGTTTGAAAAAGATTAAATTTTATATACACAATTTACAATTTCTTTGTAATGATGTGTCCAAAGGTATATTTTAGAGAAAGATCTTTGCTGTTTCGGAAATGTTCAATGTCTAAAAAGTTGTCTGCTTTTGATTAAAAAGGTTGAATTTAGACAAGATTTTTCTATGAAAGATATTAAGTGAAAAAGTTTGTATGAATTTTTCCAATCTCTTATAAAGGAAGTTTCTTTCTTTGGCGGCAATTTTGACACACAATTAAATCCCGTGTGTATCTTTACGTGTGTGAGTCTCAAATGCGACGAAGATTCGTTTGCTATTTCTATTCATAGTCTTTTTTTGTTTTTTTGTTTTTTTTGTTTTTTTTTAACAACAAAATCGGCTCGAGCGAAGGTTGATAGCAGTTCCGAATTTTTCTGAGAAATGCGTGGGCGAATGTTGTTTGTTTTTTTTTTTTTTTTTTTTTTTTTTTTAGCCAATATTTCTTGAAACATTTAAATTAGGGATGAATTTGAAAAATATTTTGTCAGTTTAGCCTATTTTTGCACAGATTGTTTTGCTATGGCAATTTCTTTTAACCAATGAAATTCAAGAAAATGTTTGAAAATTGAAATGAGGTTTACTAAATGTTGTTCTATATTACAATGTCCATCAATATTTAGCACTTACTTTTGAGATGTTTTTATATAGTCTTTTCAATATCTTCTTTCCATTTTCCATTGTTTGCAGTAAGAAATAACTCGAGATTAATGTTTTCTTCTTTTTAGAATCCCGAAATCTATACCGTGTCAGAAAATAGCAAATCGGTGGAGGAAAAAGTCAGCTCACAGATGAACATTGTTGAAGGGAAAACTGAAATAAAACGAAGTTAGTTAATTTTTTGTTCTTCTCTCTTCTCTACAAGAGAAAAGATCTACATCTCCCACCACTATTTGCTGCAAGTAATCAGCAGGGTTGGACTATAGTTATTTAGGGGAAGATATCTTTTATCAAGGAATAATTTCCGAAATTTTTTTTTTTTTTTTTACAAGAACTCAGGTGTTCAGAAACAAATCGAATATTCACAAAATCTCAAGTTCGTGACAGAACCCAATTAGAATAATTCTCTGTAATAGTAAGGCTTTGTGAAACTAGCTTGTTATCCAATACGCGAAGGTATTTTAAGGATATAGTGTATACTCCTCTTTGGAGTGATTTGTAACACATTATTTCTCATCATTCAGTTGCCTCTCTGTCTTTGGGCAGAGTGCACTCAGAGGCGACTCCGCCAGAGTCGCAACTGAGGAAAATTATACTGAGAGGTGCCCAGTCCTGGAGGACAGCTGCCCGAGGCCGCGCCCACCAATTGCACAAGAGAGGGATCGGTGCTTGTACCGAGGCCAGCGCAACGGACGGTTGCGGGGGCTGCGGTCAATTTTTCTTCCTTGCCCCGGGTGTACGCGCTCGCGGTCCCCACCTTGAAAAAAAGACCTTGTGTCCCCACTCGTCTTAGTGGGTAGACGGGAAATACCTAGAGTGGAAACAGTTTACAAATACTTACCAATCATTATCAGCACTTTCCTGTTCACTATAGTGTATCTTTTGAATTCTGTTTATTTTTCATCTACTACAATACGTGTTGTTAGTTGTCTATCTGCCTTGACCACCTCTAGTTGGTACAACAACTTTTTCGATTAGTTTCTTAATCTATTGTATGTGTTTGACACTGACTGGTATATAGTGTAATGAGAAAGTTTTTAGACAGATCTAAACAAAGTCTGGGTGGTGTAGTGGATAGCGGCTCGTATTGAGAAATCTGTTCGCCGATTTCTCATTCTAGTTGCATTCACGCGCAAATATCATTTCGCCTCCCCAGCCATGGATTAAATAGTAGGATATGTATCTAGAAAAAAAATGATTCTCAAATAATGCAATATTCACTCACAAAACAATTGTTTTTACAGCCAAAAATGTTTCGGCATTAAATAACTCTCAAAAGTCTGATAAACCGTTAAAAATAATCTAATGGGAATCTAATAGTACCCTGGAGAAAAAATTACTTACGGACGATTGGATATATTTTTTTTAAAGTAATCTTAATTAATAAACAAATTATCATAGGTCGTTCCACAAAATGTGATTGTTTTTAAACTTTTATACAAGATGCAGGAATATTTATATGTTCAAAAAATGTTGGAAGTAACAGTACCCGTGAAAAATATGCGGTTTTACTGTTTGAAATTTAGAATGACTCATAATTTTTATGTTAATGATTAACTCCTTGCGAATTCCACGACTATAAAATGCGTGAAAATTCCTCTATTAACTCGTTACATTTCTGAATTTTAACTGTAAAAAAATATTACAATAACATGAAGACAAAACATTATTGGAAGAGTGTACAAATTAAAACATTCTCTCTTAAGTTGAACATAAAAGCTTGAACATTATCTCTTTTTCCTAGCCATTACTTTTTCTCTCTCTCTCTGTGTCTTGTGTGTGTGTCTCTCTCTCTCTCTCTGTGTCTTTTGTGTGTGTGTCTCTCTCTGTGTGTCTTTTGTGTGTGTGTCTCTCTCTGTGTGTCTTTTGTGTGTGTGTGTCTCTCTGTGTGTCTTTTGTGTGTGTGTGTCTCTCTGTGTGTCTTTTGTGTGTGTGTGTCTCTCTGTGTGTCTTTTGTGTGTGTGTGTGTCTCTCTGTGTGTCTTTTGTGTGTGTGTCTCTCTCTCTGTGTCTTTTGTGTGTGTGTGTGTGTCTCTCTGTGTCTTGTGTGTGTGTGTGTCTCTCTGTGTGTGTCTTTTGTGTGTGTGTGTGTCTCTCTGTGTGTGTCTTTTGTGTGTGTGTGTGTCTCTCTGTGTGTGTCTTTTGTGTGTGTGTCTCTGTGTGTGTCTGTGTCTTTTGTGTGTGTGCGTCTCTGTGTGTGTCTGTGTCTTTTGTGTGTGTGCGTCTCTGTGTGTCTTTTGTGTGTGTCTCTCTCTTTTGTGTGTGTGTGTGTCTCTCTCTCTCTCTTTTGTGTGTGTGTGTCTCTCTCTCTCTCTCTCTCCTCACAGAGTGGTCAACAAAACTTACACGATGTTAACGTTTCGTATTCTTATTTTAGCCTACAAAATCCCTCCATTGGCACTTATGGTTGTTATTGGTGACGCATTGCATAATTTCGCTGATGGCCTGGCGATTGGAGCGGCATTTAATCAAAGTATTGTGATTGGATTTGCAACAAGTATAGCTGTTTTGTGTCATGAACTCCCTCATGAATTGGGTACGTAGTCATAAACAATTCGCATTTCTTTGTCATGCACGCAAAATATGAATGAAAATGTTGATGCTTCTAAAACTCTTGGCGATTTTATTAATTAACACAATTAACAACGCAATTTATTGCCTTAATTAACACTTCATATTAAATTCTAAACTGTATTTAATGCCATGACATTTCCACACTATCAAGGCTTTCAACGTATTTCTTATCTTTGAACTATCATTTCTTTGGAAAGATAGTGGTTTCTTATTACCTTCTGTGTTGAATTCAGAAATTCTTCTAGACTGGCTTCCACCCAAGGCTAAATATGTCTACTTTACTGTTTTACCTATAGATGGAGGAATAAATGAATTCGTACCTTTCCCAAGGGCAATAAATTTGAAAAATCGTTAGCCGATTCAACTTAATCACAATATCTTTACTCCTCTTAGACCCTGAAGTGACAAACACCAACAATTTAGATTACATAAGTAAATTGTTTTTCATAAACTTTACCATTAGGGAGAAAACGAATTGATAAAAAGATTTCACTCACGCTCGTGCGCACACACACACATATATATATATATATATATATATATATATATATAATCAACCAAGTAGACGAAAATAGTTAAGCGAATATCAAAGTCAACTAAAGCCTTTTGGGAAGTTCGTGGGATTACACTGAAAACGAAAATCGGTGTCTATCGAACAGTCATTCTCGCCACACTTCTTTATGGATCCGAATCGTGGACGCCATACACGACGCACATCAATCAACTTGATGCTTTTCATAAACGCTGTCTTCGTTCAATATGCGGTTATATAGGGCAGGACAAAATCTCTAATCCTGATCTTTTCATGAAATGTAGCGTCGGTGGTATTGAAACCTTTCTGATGCAATCACAGTTCAGATTGCCTGGTTATCTTATCAGAATCCTCATATATAGCCAACTTTTCCATGGTAAGCGTAATGTAGGCCGTCTTTGGTTACGCTTCAAGGACAAACTTAAATACAATTTAATTGCTGCAAGCATCCCTATAGAGGAGTTCAAAATGCTGTTGAAAACCGAGCAAGCTAAAGAAACACCTGCTTCCAAGGTATAACTAACTTTGAAAAGAATCGTCTCAACCATCTGAGAGAATTAAGAATTAACACTAAATCTCGGGCTAATACATCCGTCTATATGACGGTCACCCACTTCTGTATGCCCTTCGTGTGGATTTGTTCCCCGTGCAGGATTGTTGTCTCATACGAAATAAACATAAAAACTAAACGGAAAAACGCTCATACGTCGAAAACGAGTAATGTAATATTCGTAGTCAGTCTACTTATCTATGTTGAGATTGTGGCCACTTATAATGAATCCTGGCAGGATATCTACTTCTGACAGTCTCCTGACTCTATAGGTTGAATATCTCCGGTGAGGAGGCCTGTGCTTTTCTTACCTCCCCACGTCTTATCAACTCTGTAGCATTTTGGCTCTAATTAAAAATTAAATGGTGACTAGAGATGTCTCTCTCATGTAGATTTCTCGACTTAACAGTAAGTTACTTTGATTTTTAAATAATAAAGACACTAGTCTTTCAAAAAAAAATCTATTTGATTTAGCCAAGAGTATTATGAAGATGTGCGGGCGCTGGAAAGGATATCTGCGAGTCGAGTTCAAATCCTGCTTAATCTGTTGGACACTTTATCACAATACCGTTTTGTAAAGGCGTGGATCTTATATTCTTACCGCTAGTTATTATAAACTGGGTCCTGTAGCTATGGATCTCAATCAGTCTAAAAAGGACAACTTAAGATTTTAAACCGTGGGGAAATCAACGACAAACCACTTAACAATCTTTCTCAAGAATGCATGGTAATTGACAGATCAGAAAAAAGGAATCTGTGGAGAACCATGATCTCTTATGTCCTGAAGGTGAGCTGAATTTGCTATGAACGGTTTGAGAAACTTGAACACCTTCCACTGCACAATATTTTTTTCTGTGTACGCCCGTCTCTATATCTCCCTCCGTAGTTGTTATATATATATATATATATATATATATATATATATATATATATATATATATATATATATATATATATAAATATATTCAACAACTACATAAGAGTTCTCGTGTTTTTCAAACAAGAGCCGTAAACTTCAATATAATTATTTGAATTAAAGTACCAAGCTCTGTTCAATCTTCAAGCGAATTTTCTTTTTTTTTTTTTTTTTTTTTAATAAAAAATTTCGCTTGAAGATTGAACAGAGCTTAGTACTTTAATTCAATGTAATTCAAATAATTGAAGTTTTCGGTTCTTGTTTTGAAACATGAGAACTCTTATGTAGCGTTGGAATCACATTTTTAAATATATAATTATATTTATGCTCTACTTTTGCATTGAGCACTATTTTTTAAAATAACAAAAATACTAAAGAACTTTGGATTATTTATCTAACGAGTTCTTTCCTATTTTCTATATTTACACACACACACATATATATATATATATATATATATATATATATATATATATATATATATATATATATAACTCCTTATTTTATGTATGAGTGGCCAGCCAGGAGTCCTGACTTAACATCCTGTAACCTTTCTTTGGGGGTTGGTTGAAGGAGCAAATCAACAATACCAAGCCAAGAATTTGGAAGAACCCGAAGGTCGAATACAAGAACGGATCTCTTACATGCTACAAGAGTTTCTGGTGAAATCGGTTGACACGATGTCTAAGTGTCTCGAGAAGCTGATAGTGAAATCTGGTGCCCATATCGAATTTTAAATAAAACCTCATGCTAATCGCTTTCCTCTCAAATCCATTTCTTGCAAAAATTATAGTTAATAAATTACAAGTATTTTAAAAATGGAGCTAATTTTCAATCACATGTCTCTGAATGTAATAAAAAACGAAAATATATAAATTCTAACGTTCACGGCATTAATTCAAAAGAGGGCTCAATACCGATAGTAGAGCAATAATTATTTATGTGGCTTGCTTATAAACAGGCTTTTCATGGCCATTTTTGGTTCTCACCTGTCGAAGTGCAATTAAATGCACTGAAACGAAATTGCATCATTGTAGTGAGTAAATTGATTTTGTCTATATAAAGTTTTTTTCTTCACATGAATTCTCTTAACGACCTACCAATTTTTTTCGATATCATTTTATCAATGAAATGATCTGTTTTGCTCTCTTTTTTTCTGAAATATAATTTACGTTTATTTCTCAGGTGATTTCGGTGTTTTACTAGGCAGTGGCATTGGCTTCAAACGCGCCATTTTCTTCAATCTCTTCTCTTCTCTCACGGCGCTGATTGGCCTGTATATTGGTCTTGTTATTGCCACAGACATCGTTATTCGCCAATGGATCTTTGCAGTAACTTCTGGAATGTTCCTCTATATTTCTCTTGTTGACCTGGTAAGCTTTCACCTAATATTATTTTGTCTTATTTCTTTCACTACCCACCAGGTAACCGACCATTAATATATGATTATTGCTCAACCCCACCTTTGCCAGAAGAAAATTATATCTTCATTGATCATTGCACAATGTGCACGCATATGACTCTTCAGCCCAGCTTGAGTTTTACATGATGTTTTGCAAATGTAACTCTTTAAATGTCCATCTCAGGTTACCGGCTGATTTGTGTTATATATATATATATATATATATATATATATATATATATATGTGTGTGTGTTATAAATAAAAAGAAAGAACAGTAAGATATAAAATCCGGTGTTCTTATAGATATTTTTATTTTTACGAAATAGTGCTCAATGTAAATTTACAGAGCTTTAATATTATAAATTAATTGATTTAAAATATGGTTTTTTTTCCCTACACAGTTCCAACCATGTTTCAAAAATAGAAGCTAAAACCCCAATTTAATTTTGCAATTAAATTAAAAGCATTAGTTCCATTTCATAATGGAATATTTGGTCAAACCACGTTGGCATGCATACTAAGCCATATGTTGGACAGGTATGGGATGGTAGTAAAACTTCCTTGCAAGGCCCTTTCGTCGTGTTAATGTACTTGCTTATGAGAAGACAGCGTCCGCGCATTACTCATGAATTCCTGTTGAACGCACCGTTCTTGCTTTGCATTCGGAGTAAACGTTCCAATGCACCTTGCTCTGCTTCCGTTCAAAATAACTCTATCCATTCAGGATGACTTTCCTCCAAGTTGCACGACTCTTGGTTAAATTTTTCCACGTGTCCATATCAAATACAATGACCACAAGTGTGCTTTTTACAAGAGCCTTCTATAATTTTCATTTAATTTAAATTCGAAGTGATCCTGAAACCTTCATCTGTAATGTTTTGGAAGCAACAACTCATGCGCGCGTTTTTATTTTTGTTTTATTATATCGACCCTGAAGAAAATTCGTTTGCATAAATTTTAAAATTCTTTACTTTTTGACTTAATTAAAATTTGTAGATTTATAAAGTGCCATGTGCATCTTGAACTATTACCTAAATATAGGTACCTCCACGAGATCGCTAAAAAGAGTATAGCATCATGAAAACAATTTTATCGTCTAAATGTTTATTATTAAGAGGAACGATCAAAGTATTTTTGGTATTTTTCCCATTTTTTAATCGTTCCTAGCACGTCCGAAATTTTGGTTAAAAATCTAGGGTTTTTTTGTTTTTTTGAGTCAGCAAAATTGACCATTTTTTTTTCCATTTAAAAAAAAAAACTGAAAATCTCACTTTGAAATTTTTTTAAATATCAATTATCATTTTTTCAAAACTTATTTTAAGAAAATCAGAAATTATGTTTATTTAAAATATTTTGAACCAAACTTAACTAAGCTTTTGTGCCAAAAAGATGTAATTTGAAAATAAAACAAAGCAGGTCATAAACTTTCGCGTCTCTTGACGGGTGATGAATGACTTATTTACGAATTCCATGAGGCTAATTTGTTCTACGGAAGGAGAAAAGTGAAATAATTTACATTTAAGTGAACAAATTGTTTACCTCGTTGTTTTTAACGAAAACTTTCAGCGGTCTTTTTTTCTTAGCTTTCACCTTTTTACGTTTATGATGCTTTATGGAAAATATATTATAAAGAAATTAAAATAAGACTGTTAAGAGATTAAATTTCATAATTCCTAAGAAATGTTTCTAATTTATAGGTACCTTTCTTATGAAATTTTATCAGAACTGTACATAAAATACTATAATTTTATGTACATTTATTACATTTTATTTGCATTCATTTTATTAATTTTGATATTTCATTTATGGAAAAATGTCGTAACTGAGATTAATATAAAAATAAGATCATATAAATTTCATAAGATGATACTGACACTTGTAGGTACCCTTCTCAGTTGAAATTGAAAAATCAAATTAACTTCTCCACACGTGTTTCGCAAAAGTAAATGCCTTAACAGCGGAGAACAATGCTTAACTCAAATAACGCAACTTAATTATATTCTGGTTGGTCTTCCGTACTTTATAATTACAGCCCGGTTATAAGCACAAAATTACATTTCTTAATTACTGTGGATCTTCTGATTAGTCAAAATGATACAATTTACAACGCGCTAAAAAAGATCTCTCATAAGGACACTTAGGAAAGCCGATGCGGCTTATACCTAATTTTATAATATTTTAACAAATTAAATGTAAAATCTATTATAATTAAAAAAATAACAAATAATTGTATTAAAAATTCATTTTTCATCGAAAAAATTTTTTTGCTTTCAGAAAATATTGTCCATATTCATAAAAACAACTAAAAGCAAATAAAAGCATTTGAAATTAAATAATATCTTTGTTTTATTGAGTTTTGTATGTTACAATTCAGAGCTGATTTTCAGGTACTGCAGATCCAATTAAAAACAAAAAAAAATGATTTGCATTCCTCAAAGCCCTGTGCTTCTAATTATTGTAATCACTAAAACCGATGCGATCGAATTTCTAGCGTCTTCATAAAATTAGTTATGGGGGGTGGGTAATAAATACTTATTTCTACCCTGACTTTAATAAAAAAAAACAATTTCAATCATCTGTGAATAGTTCCTTAAAGTTTCATTAACATCCGACAATTATTTCTATTTTTGCACGACTTTTCAAATTAATGTGTGTCATACCAAAAAACGTGCTAAAAATTGTCTGTTATTTACTAGTTCCACTGATACAAATAGAAACAAAGTTTTTTTTAATTAAAATTTAGAATGTTCTAAAAAGAAGGAAAAAATTTTAAAAATAATTAAAAAAAACTTTGGTCTTTCCTCTTAATAACATAAGCATTTAGACAATAAAATTGTTTTCGGCAAGGTTGGCGTCTTTTTCATCAAGCTATGCTCTCTTTTTTAGCGATTTCGTGGAGGTACCTACCTAAATATTTTTATGTAACTTAAATTATTTCTGTAAACATAAAAATATAATTCTAGACAGATGTTCATTTTATTGCTGTCTTCGTTTCATATTAAGTTTTAATTGCCGATTAGAATATAAACAAAAAGTCCAAGATACAAACCAAGAGAAATATCTGGCATTGACCTAATTCATGATCTTAGCTGACTACTAGTAGTGTATGCAAAATATATATATATATATATATATATATACACACAGCAGAACAGATGGAGTAACAATCCACAGTTCGTAGCATTTTAGTTTTTAAAAAGTGCTCAATACAAAGTAGAGCAAAATATTTTTATAATCTTTTATATATCTTATATAAGATCCTAAAAATATTTTTTATGTGGTACATTCATCTGCTAGGTTAGCTAGGTAATTCCTGTCTTAAAAACTACACATTTTTTATGCTTGCTTACATTGGGGATTAAATATTTTTTATAAATAATAATGGTTTGACGATAAATAGTAACGAAATGGTACAATTATGCTGATGACATAGGTATTCATATTTGGTACAAGAATGACCTTGATTTAAAAAAAAAAAAAAAACCTTCTGTTCAAAGCAATAATATTTCAGATAAACAGTTCCAAAATAGAAACTATAATTTGAAATGAGTAATGGCACTTGCCCTGAATCAGTCATAAACATTCAGAATCTGCAATTAATAAATTATGGATCAATTATAACAAATTTAGGAGAGAAGAGGAATTCGAATACGGGCTTTGTTGCACGAGGAACTGCTTTTTCCAACACTGTAAGAGGCTACAAAATCAGTGTTGAACTAAGAATTCGAGAAATGTTAACCTCTTAAGTTCTATACACTCGTACGAGTACCATTCATGGCGCACTCGTTGTGAAAGATCTTATCAGCTATATACAACAGGTCAATGATTAAAATGGCGTCGAGAGAATGAATCCCTTACGCCTTTTAAAGAATGCAACCTTTCATCAAATCTTATAGACTGGCGCTACAGAATCATAAGGAATTTTATCAAATAATGAAAGTAACATCACGTGAATAATTGCAACAACAAAAATAGATTGTGTAACAAGAGAAAAATGATGTAATGGAGATTTTATAATGAACTGACTGCGGCTAAATGAATTCTCCAGATAACGTGGATTACATTTTAATATGTTCTCATCTGCGCCTTTTCACTTAGCTGGTAAAGAATCGTCTTAAATTTTAAGCGACTCTGTTGTTTGCACTATCGGTCAGTCTATTGTGGTTCGTTTGGAAGCTCGATAAGAAAATCTGTTTATGGCGGGGGAATGGGTTATGCATATATTTAGTGAAAAAATAATTGTTCTACGTTTAATTGCTTGATTTTTCTCTTGGTAGACACGGACTGAATTCAGGTTCAGACAAGATAGTCACTGGCAATAAAAACGGATTTATTACATGAACACCAAGCTAAGAAAATGAATAATTCAAGGACAATCAACATTTCACTCAAAACTTAATCTACTGAGGAGGATATGTTATGAATAGCTGAAATCTGGACAAATTGTGACTGCATTTTGGTTACACTGAGTAAATGGCTTGTTTGAATAACTCATTGGAATAGAAATTTGTATTTTAAGAAATAAACCGGAGATTTTTGTTCTGTTTGCCTTTCTCCGAATTGCAAATGGATGGAACTATCAAAGAATGGTAAAGTTCTTCGACATGCGATGTAAGACTATCTTGTTTCTCTCCGAACAAAATTCTGTTCGCAGATTCCAACAATTCAAGATATAGAAAGATTAGCAGAAGTATTCACAGAATCAAAATCGGAATCTTTTGATGAATACACAATTGAGCTGAAAGATGCCGGCAAGTCATAGAAAGCCAGGTTTTTTGGGGTTTTTTTTAAGAATAGGAAATTTATACGCTTTGTTTATAATCTTGTTTTTAAACATGGTTCTCGTCACTTTTTGTTGCACGAGGAACTGCTTTGTCCAACACCGTAAGAGGTTACAAAATCGAAATGTTGAACTAAGAATTCGAGAAATGTTAACCTCTTCAGTTCTAGACACTCATACGAATACCATTCATGGCGCACTCGTTGTGAAACATCTTATCAGCTATATACAACAGGTCAATGATTAAAATGGCGTCAAGAGAATGAATCCCTTACGCCTTTTAAAGAATGCAACCTTTCATCAAATCTTATAGACTGGCGCTACAGAATTATAAAGAATTTTATCAAATAATGACGTGAATAATTCCAACAGCAGCAACAACAAAAATAGGTTGTGTTAAAACAAAAAAAAACTAATATTTAAATCGTTTTAATCTGTATTCCACTAATATAACAATTTTTTACTTTTTCTCTAGCTACCAATTCTTAAATCTAATGACTTAAAGAGTAACAAAGGGTTGTTACTATTCAGTAATATTGGAATTTTGGTCGGCGTTGTAATTATGCTGTTAATTGGAATGTATGAAGAGGAAATCAAGTTCACAAATTAATTGGTAAGTTCCTTTTGATTCACAAATGATCGATTTCAAAATTCATTTTGAATAACTATTCATTATTAAATTAGTCTTGATAAGAGGTTAGTCATAATGAAATTGTCGGTTTTCTTTACAAACTCGTCATTTTTGATTTCCAAAATAATTTAGACACTTTTTTACATAACTCTTAATGATTCCGTAAAAATGTAATTGGTTTTTGATGAGAGCTTACCCACACTTTATATTTTTAATCTTTCCGTGTCCATTGTACATTTTATTTTTAACTTTTTCGTGTTCAACGAGTGGAATATTTTCAAGACTTTAAAGTTCACTCCGGATTACGCGTGGTACTCGGATATGCTGTCCCCCACTAAAGATGCTGGAAAACTAGACGGTTCTTTGTACCCTGGCCTTGGAATGTACCTCCTCCATACAGTTTCTGTCTTGGCGAGTTAATTCAGACGGAAATGGTTATTGCTGACGAATACTAGTCTTGACGAAACTCAAATTCGTCTACAGGCCTTGTGCGTGTGATTATTTTCCAGCCCACAATTTCTCCCACAGATACAACGTTGTAACCTTCTCGCTATTCTAAGGCTATTTCCATGGCAAATGTTCAGATTAGCTGCAAACTAGTGGAACTAAGAAATGTTGCCAAGAGCAGCCAGACCACGTAAAGAAATTCAACTCTTCCACATTAACCTTCATATTCCAACGAGAAGTTCCATTCGGACAGCTTTTTCCAATAAAAGCTACTTTGTGTAGCAGTTTCCCTGGGAAGATGCTTCCCTGATCAGTATAATATTAAGCAGTCTCAAGTCATCCGTTATCTACTTTCAAGAATTTCATTTGGTTCCCCTCTACCTTGATTGGCTCTTGGACCTTGTATTGGGGGAACAATAGTAAAATCTTATAAAGACGAGAATTAATTGTATCATATGATGTGCAAGCAAATATTGTATTTTAGACTTTCCCATGTGTATTACCGATAAAATAATCTAAATAAATGCTTGCCTGTTGTCAAGTTATTTAATACAAGTTCCCCTTGTGTAGAAGCAATAAAATGTTAATGTTTTATACCGAAACTTCAGAAATATATCGTTTTATTCCCTTTGGTTTCTGGTGTATGCTCCTTTCTTTCCGGGTCCTGACCAGTGACCTAAGGTCATAAATGGCATGACATTTTCTGATTAGCAGTTTTAAAAAAAATCGCACATATACATTTTTTTTTTTTTGTATTTCTTTAAGGCATGAACTAACAGGGATTCCTTCAATGAGCCTATTGGAATCTTTTCCAATTAATCCGACGGCTCCAACTAAAACTGGAATTGTCAATATCCTCATGTGCCACATTTTTGAAATTTCGATTTCAAGGTTCTTGTATTTTGATAGTTTTTTTTTTTTTTCTTTTGAAGATCTTCAAAGATACATTGCAGTCTGCACGGGCTGCCATGCCAATCAGGAAGCACATTTTGTCTTTGCGGTCTTTAATCACGGTTGTGTGTGGCGGCGGCATCATCATCATTATTATTATTATTAAATTATTATTATATTTATATTATTATTATATTTATATATATTATTATTTATATTATTATTAATTATATTATTATTTGGGAGCTTTATTTCTAACTAAGAATTTGTTCTAAAATTTTGCAAGTGAAGATTTTTTTTTTATACGGGACCTGGAGCTTGAATGTGATCTAGCAGTAAGCTCTTTCTTGGATTTAAATCCAAGACAAAGAGCTTACTGCTAGATCACATTCAAGCTCCAGTTCCCGTATAATCACCTAAGTTAAGCAAAATTGATCCTTGTCAGTACCTAAATAGGTGACATCTTGTAAGCGTAGAAGTGCGGGTGGCATAATGAATAATGGCTCGAGATTTTTAATCGGAGAGCGGAGTTTTAATTCCAGTTGGGTTCGTTATAATCACATGCGCGCAAATATCGTTGGGAAAGGTACGATTTCACTTCCCCTGCCCAGATTTGGGTTAATTAGACTGTATAACTAACCCATTATCATCTGAAAAAATATTCTTACACTCGAAAAATATTTTCTGGTTGTTAAGTAACCCACAAATTAATAAGCCGTAGAAAACAGATGAATCTATCAGTTCAAGATGAAGTGAAACTAACCAAATTTCCCAGTTTTCTTCATAAGTCTTGTCAACCTGTGAATTTTCAGCCACTTTCCAACAGTGTTTTACTCTATGTTCGATTCATCACAAGAAGTGATCTCTTTGACCTATCGGACAACGTGAGATTCTATCTCGGGTCTCATGGTCGGCATACAAACATGAATATGTAAATATAACTCACAGTTTCAGTAGAGATCTTCTGATCTCTTTTATTTAATCTTTTAATAGCAATGCGCGTGAAAATTTCAGTTTTCCTGCTTGAATGTTCTGATGAATCAATTGTTAAAGATTGAATAAATCCCTTTGCAAGTTTTATGACTCTAAAATAACTACGGACATAGTCTCTATTGTCGCGTTAAATGTTTCAGCTTAACAGCTTCAAAAAATATCAAATAACACGTATGAATACAGGTCATTATTTAAAGAGGTTACAAATGGAAATCTTCACAAGGTTTTCCGTTTCGGCACGCTTCCGTTTAAGCAGGCTTAAAAACATGGAAGCTTTATTACCTCTATTTTTCTCTTGGTTTCTCATTAAAACCAAACAGAATTTTTTATATATTTTTCATCTGTCGTTACTCGTAATGAAAACTGAATGGTCCATCTATCTTAGGTAATGCCAGTACGTGCTAATTTACCGTAATTCCCCATGTATAATACGATTTCATCCATAATACGCACACCTAAAATTGTGCTGAAAGTGTGGGGAAAATGCTTCTACTCATGCATAATATGCACCCCTTGTTTGGTAATCAAACCCTCTAAATTGTACCCCTCCAATTTCATTACAGCCAGCGTTTTCTACTCTTATCAATAAAAACTGTTTCTAAACATAGAATATCATTTTAATTTAGTTTTGATAATTATAATTTACGGCAATTTTTTTAAAGATTTTTTTTTTTTTTTTTTTTGTAGCTGTGCTTAATACGCACCCCTGATTCCATTTTTTTTTTTAATATGCGTATTATACATGCATTAATTTACAGTAATAACTTATACAGGAACAAAGTGTCTAATATGATTTATCTATTTTTATTTTTTTTTATTTACAGGATGTGGAGCTTTTCCTGAATGCCAAAAGATATCATACCATATCTGGAATATGTATATATGATGTATATCACTCGTCCAGTTTATATAACCAAACTTCTGATTTATTTATTTATATATATATATATATATATATATATATATAAATTCCAATAACCAAATCATTTTTATAATGCTAAAAAAAAAAAACTTCAGAAGCTTATTCAGTCAGCATTCTCTCAATGAAAATACAAACGCTAACAAAACTGAAAAAGTACTCTTTGTGGGTGGGAGAAAGTTCCTTGTATAAAATTATGCCAAAGCGTGTATATTTAAAATGTAAATGAAACTCTTAATACATGGTAAGTTTTACTCTAAATTTCAGAAAAAAACAGTTTTTAAAAATTATTTTGGGAGGAGTTTTGTTTGCATCTCTTTAATTTTATTTTTTAAGCATTGAAGATAAAATGGCAAATGTTTCTCTACAATTTCAAAGGAAGTTTATAATGGAATAAAATTCTTCAACTTTGAAATGAACGGAAAAAATACAATGGACAAAATCTATTTTGGTACAAATGTTTTGCATAAATTCTTTACATGTGAATTAAAATAATGCCTTTTTATTTCTGTCTGCCTGTCTATCTACCAGTCCAGTCCAGTCCATAAAGTTTGTGTGCACTTTTAAAAATTTATAACTTTATTTCTATTTGCGATAGAAATAATTTGTAAAAAGGATTAGAAAGTGAATCTATATTTTTTAAGGTTTAATTTTATTAAGTTTCCACATGTCCTCCATCATTAGCAATACAAAGGGTAATACAATTTTGCAGTTCACGGAAAATATTTGCCAACTGATTTACAGTAATGCCTGAAAATCAGTTATTTTAGCCATACTTAAAACGAGGTACATTAAACTTTATAACATTTTTTACAGATTATTTCTATCGCAAATAAAGATATAAATTTTTAAAGTGCACACGAACTTTATGGACACTATATATATATATATATATATATATATATATAATCACAATATTGTTCAGGCTGGCCATCAGTAATCCGACATTAATTTTCACAAGAGAAATTTCAAACTTATCAGGTTAACTAGCAGACTTTCCACTACGAATATCGCTTGCTGTTTAATCTTTTTCCTTTATAAACCAACTTGTACTAGAGTATTTTAAAGGATGAAGTGATTAGCCGTTGGGTTAAATGTATCCTAATATAAACATCAGAAATCCAACAGGTTTGGTTTTTTTTTTTTACGGTATATCAACCTGAATGGGTTATTTAATGCTGACAACATTTTTTTTATTGCTGGTAATATTTTGTTTTGTCAAAAATCTGTTTCTGGTAATACTTTTCCTTCAAAATTGTATTGCTGGTAATAATTTTTTTTTCAAAAGTATTGCTGGTAATAGTTAACTATTTGCCCATAGCTGGGACCCTAATAGGTGCTACCACCCGGGTCAGGGTGGACCTGGGAACACCAGCAATTAAGAGGTGGTTCAACGCTCCTCAAAACCTCCTGATCAGAGGCCTTGCTGCTGGACGTAGTTTAACGTCTTACCCTGGACGTAAAATCCAACAGGATGAAACCGGGTTGGTGTGACAGTCAACATGTACCAAATTCTATTTCTTTGATTTTTTATAAACACTTTTTCAACTGAAATCTGGTTCAAGACTATCGGCTACTTTTTCTTTTATGTGCCATGTCCCTTTAGGACGTAGACGATCATGGCACTCCACTCCCCCCTATCCCTTGTAGCTCTCAATAAGTTTTGCCCCTTTGCTACTTCCTATAGGCCATGTTTATCCACTATTTATGTCATGCGTTGCTTTCCCTTGTCTCTTTCCTTCTACTCGACTTGTGAGTATCGGATTCTCCAAGACCTCCTTTCACATTACATGTCCCAGAAATTTCAGCTGCCTCTTCCTAATGTTAAGTATAAGCTTTCTCCTTGTTTGAATTCTCTCCGAAATCTCATCGTTGCTCACACGCTTTTTGTGTAAAACCATATCTCCGCCGCCTCAAGTCTCTTCATCTTTGAGGAGACTGTCCAACATTCGCTGCCATGAAGGAGAACAGTTGTCACGTAGCAGCTCAGTACTCTTTTCTTTGTTACCAAAGAAATCCTGTCTCGTAATACTCTGCCTGCCTTTTGGAATGCGTCTTTGTCCATCTCAATGTCTTCCGATCTCAGCGTCGCACATGTCATCATGGCTATCGGCTTCACAAAAATTTAAACACATTTCTCTTCGACTCTCTTTCTCTCCGGAGTAAAGAAGGCATATTAAAGTAGATGGGCAGTTCCCCAAAGTTAATGGAAGCCTCTAGGGCTGAGTAAAACAGGATTTAGTCGTTAATGACTTTGGAGTGATCGCCTAACTGGAGAAAGTGAACTGTCAACAATTTTAGTTTTCCTTTTGTTTTCACTCATAACTAGCTTAAAAGCCTCACTCTGTACAAGCTTTTGAGCTAGTTCCTACGAATGTCTAATTGAGACTATCTCAAAACTAAAGCGACCTCTGGTCCAGCTTAAAAAACAGCAATGATAATTTTGAAGAACTAACTTTGAATTCCTCTGTTCTCTCTATGGAACTTCCAAACCTCAGATTTAATTCTGATTCGAACTATAATTCCAATTCCGGCCGTAAATTACAGTTCTTCAAATCACAAACTCTGAGGAACTTCAAAAACCTAACATCACAAAACCTCTCACTTTAACTCTGGTTCCTTGGCATTTTGAAGAAATAAAATTGATTTCTTTAATTCACAAAGTTTTGGAAATATTTCAAACTGAATTTAAAAGTTGTTTTTTTTTTTTGTTGTTTTTGTTTTTTTTGTTACTTTGAAACGCAATATAAATCAAACTTTTAAAATCACTTTGAATCAATTTGAATTTTTAATTCTCTCATCCGGGCACAAATCTCAATTCAAACACCAGATGATGGGCAGATTTTCAATCCAGATATCATCCTGATTCCAAGAAGGTACGTAGAGTGGCCCAAGTTACGTGTTTGACACATTAATAGAATTTGCCGTTTTATTTAGGTTTTATTTCTTGACAGACATATTTTATTTATATCAGACTTTTTATATACACACAGACACACACATATTTTGATAAATCTCCCTCTTTGGTACCTGGACTTTGGTACATAGATTATGAATTTAAGCACGGTACTAGATTGGCAGCAAAGTCTCATAATTTTCCAGTGGAATTGGCTAGATGTAACCCAATCCTAAACTAGGAACATGGGATAAACCTCTATTGTTCAAAAGACCAAGTAGGATTGAACCGGGCGATAGGTTTACATATTTATTAGTGCTATATTCTCGGCTGAAGCTGGTTATTCCTTGATGAATTTAAAAGCGTCCACGCGGCCCTGTGGGTGTTGAATTATTTTCCCCTCTACACTTCCTTTTTCGCAGAAGCAACCTTGCATGCCTCTCGCTACTCTATCGCTATTTCCCCAGCAAATGTTCAGACAAGCTATATTCATTATTACCACTGTTAAGACTATTACAACTAACACCCGCTATGCCGCGAACATTGTAGGCATCGTTACATTTTTATCAATGGACTACGAAAGGAATGAAGTTCGATTCGACCAGATTCTTTCCAAGAAACTTTGTGCAATACTCCCGAGCGGATGCTTCCCTGATCGCTACAATTTTAACCTCTTCAGGTTTAAGGTCCCCATAATTTGTATTTTTTTTAAAATTCCTACTGTTACCATCACAAAACCTAATTCAGTAACCCTATACCACATTAGATCTACATTTTCTCATTCAGTTTATTATAAAATGAACATTTTAGTCAATGGTTTACATGCTAATTATTATATTTGACAATATTTTTATATTTCAAAACGGTCACATTTTGCTGTAACCATAGCATTTAATATATTCTCAACTAAAGTGCATGGCTTCTACACCTCTTGGCTCAAATTGTACCACACTTGAGTACGTGATGTAAATTATCGCTCCCCAACATGGGTCCTATTGCAAATTCCATAGGATTATTGTCATTGTTTGATGTAAGCCAAATTGAGTTGCCGAAAAATCCACGTCTCTTGCGCCAAATCAACGTTGAACAGTGCAGTGTGTGCAGGAGCTCCGTCTTGAGTTAACTTCAAATGTAGCTGACAACCAGGGTAATGCGTCAGCAACTAAAGCCAAAACATATTAGTTGGATTCTTTCGCTCGAAATATATTCTGACACTATCGGGGATGCTTTCTGGTGAAGTAACGTGAACCCTATCGTTTGGTAGCTGACCACAGCCTCTATAAGAAAAAAAAAACTCGTTTAACGAAACGAAACTGCCTATGTTATGATGTTGATTTGGGGTTAGTAGAAACAAACGCCAAATAACACGTAACAATAAAAAGGGTTGGTAAATAGGTACAGAAATCGCCTGAGTAGCCAATAACTAGCCCAGCTAAGAACTTCTGTCTCTGTCTTTCGACATGCCACTATTTAAAGTCTTTGTTCACAGACGCAGACAAGTTCATCTTCAAGAAGGGTGGTAGGTTTCCGACACAACAGTCTATGAGGTACGCAGTATCTCCAACATTTTCTTCTCTCTACCAAGCCGTTTTTGCTTACCGGGGTGAGTACTAAATAAGACCAGATATCCTGTGATATGAACAACGGAACGAGGGTAATCCATCAGTTCGAATTTCCATGAAGGTTATCCTGATCAAGAGATGGTTGGATGGAAAAATGGTTGAAATGCTGTAGTCTTTAAAACAAGGATGTCGGAATTAACCAAATTCTAAATGAAGGGATTAACAATAATCCTCATCCCAGAAATTGAGACTGAATTTTTATTATCTTGGGGTTTTAGTAGGTTCACCTGTGTGTATGAGGTATTTTGGCAAGTGTAAGATTGGGTCAAGAGTAATGTCCTTGTGGTAATTGAGTAAATTGTAACGAACGAATGTATCACGAATCAGATTAGCTAGGTTTAGGATAGTCAATGACGACCAGCCTCATCCCACTCTCCCTTCGGTCTTGTACCAAAATTGTACGTAAAAATACAAATAAATACACGTACTTGAGTATGAG